AGAATAGAGTGGAAATAAGAAAAATACACCATTCATAACATTTTTTTTACTCATAAAATAAGATAAACTCCTAATTACAAAAATANAAGAATGTATTCACATGTCAATGGCAGTATATTCAATTTCTTAAAAAGATCCCTACAAGAGTCTCTAGGTCCACTCCAGATATAATCCTTATTACTTTTTTTTTTGTAATTTAAAAACTCTTAACATTATTCGTTGAGTTGCCCCAAAAAATTATTCCATATTTAAGAATAGAGTGGAAATAAGAAAAATACACCATTCATAACATTTTTTTTACTCATAAAATAAGATAAACTCCTAATTACAAAAATAGCTGAACTAAGTTTAGGGAGAATATACTCTACATGACTCTTACAGTCTAAATTCTTATCAATCTGCAGACCCAAAAATTTTATCACAGAAAATTCATCTATAAACAAATTCCCACTAACAACTGCCAGAGAGTTATAGGACTGTTTTAGAGCAAACCTAATAATATTAGTTTTAGTGATATTTAAGGCCAACTTATTAGCTGTGAACCAATTTATAATAAGAGACAGTGTACCCCTGACTTTATGCTTAAGCTCATCATGATTATTACCAGTAACCAAAACATTGGTATCATCAGCAAAAAGAACAACTTTAGCCAATTTATTAATATATGGAGGCAAATCATTAATGTAAATAATAAATAGAAGTGGTCCCAAAACCGACCCCTGCGGAACCCCTTGTTTAACTCTTTCCCAAGATGAAAAATAGTCCTGACCATCATTAGTTTTGATGTACACACACTGTTTTCTATCCCATAGATATGATTTGAACCAGTTTAATATACAACCCCGGACACCATAATACTCTAGTTTAGATGTCAATATCTCATAATTAACACAGTCAAAAGCCTTAGCAAGGTCACAAAAAATCCCTGCAGTTTGCAGTTTGTCATTCCAGGCCTGAAGTATGCCAGTCGTAAAAGAAAAAGCAGCATGGTCTGTTGAAAAATTTTTCCTAAAGCCAAATTGTTCCTGCACCAGAATATTATTAACTTGTAGATGCTGACTCAATCTACAATGCATAACTCTTTCCAAGACTTTACTAAATACAGTCAACATAGAAATAGGTCTATAGTTCGTAATATCAACCTTATCTCCTTTCTTATACAGGGGCTTTATAACAGCATACTTCAAGCGTTCAGGAAATACACCATTAATGATAGACATATTACAGATGCAGGAAAGGGGCGCACTTATAAAGACGCTACAAAGTTTTAATACTTTAGATGAAATCCCATCATAACCAGAAGACTTCTTTGATTTTAAAGAACAAATTATATTGATAATTTCTCCTTTGGTTACAGGAATTACTTTCATACTATGAAAAATAGGCTGAAAAACGTTCTTTAATAATTCAAGAGGTGAACTAGTTTTATCAGGATGTGTTTGCAGACTATGAGCAATATTAAAAAAATACTCGTTGAAAGCATCAGCTACATCATTAGATTGAATGTTCCTATTATCCATTTTAAACATAACCGGCATATAATTGTCTTTTGCGGATTTATGCAATACATTTCTTATAATATTCCATGCTGTTTTATTTCTATTATTAGAAATTTCAATTAACTGATTATAATATAATTTTTTTGCTTCATAAATTACTTTCCTTAAAATAAGACAATACTTTTTATAATAAGTTTTTACTTTTGGATCGTTACTATATATTCGATTAACTTATATAAAAATCTTTTACATTTACAAGATGTCTTTATACCCGTAGTAATCCAACTTTTATCATTGTTATTGCTCAAATACACAACAGGGAAGCTTGCTTCATAAATGTTTAAAAATGTAGATAAAAATTTATTAAAAGCACAATTAACATCAGCATTAAGATAAACTTCATTCCATATCAAGTATCTCAGCATCCATTACAAAATGTCTGGTATCATAGAACCTGAAGAACCATCAATGATATCAAGAAGCAAATTAACAGATTCTATATTATTCTTCAATCTATGCCTTGATCTCAAATGTAAATTTTTCATAATACAAATTTCACTGCCCATATTTTGCATGCATTTCTTTTCCTACAATGCATGCTACAGTGATTGACACTCTCAATTCTCTTAAGTAATTATTGAATAAGAAGTTCCGGAAAGAACTACTCACCTACTTCCCTTCAATATAACACGCAACGGATAGAAAATGACATGTCCAACAATGTGATATCATAAGCTTACTTTTATTTTTTTAAGTAGGGAAAATAGACTAAAAACATTTGTATTTGCTTAGGTGTACACAATAATACAAATGCCATTGCCTAGCAATGACAGTAACATATTTACAAATGTTGCCTAGCAATGGCCCTTTTCTGTTTTGAGGTGTTACAGTTTTTGTTCTCTCTTCGGTCTGCTGCTCTACTCACACTATAGACTAACTATAGACCTATATCCTTGTTGACTTCTTTTTCAAAAGTAATTGAAAAATTTATTTATGAAAGATTAATTACACATATTGAAATGAACAGTATCTTGGTCAATGAATACTATGGATTTAGAACACAATCCTCAACCGAAATTGCGGCCTTTACATTATTAAAAAGTATATTTACTTCAATGAATAACAAAATGTTTGAGTGGTATTTTTTGTTCTACAAAAGACCTTTGACTGTGTTAAACATAAAATACTAATTGATAAACTTGAATTTTGTGGACTTGAAGGTAAATTTAAAACATTAATAAACTCTTATTTAATGGATAGATATCAGAGAGTAGAACTCAGTAACAAAAGTAACAGTAAGGGCATATCTAATTGGGAGAGGATTGAATGTGGAGTCCCACAAGGCTCTATTCTTGGCCTCTTGTTCTCTATACTCTATATAAATGACTTACCAAAGATACTAAACAAAGATAAATATATGGTTTTGTACGCGGATGACACGAGTATAATAATTACAAATACAAACCACTCCATCCAATGTGACATATAAGTTTTTACTACGTGAAAACTTATCTCCCTTACATTTTTCAGTCCTTACGGACCATCTTCAGAGGGAACATCATTACATACTGGAAACTACCATCACAATAGGTGTTTTGATTTAAAATACATACGCTTACATCCTATAATGCACAGTACGCATAAAGTCGAACATTTCACAATCACAGCAGCTTCCTGGTATTGTAAAGTTTCTAAAGTTTCTAGATGTTATTTAAAAAACCTTTATTGTCAGTAGTTAAAATTTTTAAACCATGTAGGTTCGTAAAAACAACACAGCAAACCACGAACAAACCCTGGACGACATCAAGAACCTCCTCATCAAGACAGACAGGCGGCACAAAATCTGCCCCATACAAAAAGAACGATAGGAGTACGGACACGAAGCTACACAGTTTAAAAATTTTAACTACTGACAATAAAGGTTTTTTAAATAACATCTAAAAACTTTACAATACCAAGAAGCTGCTGTGATTGTGAAATGTTCGACTTTATGTGTACTGTGCATTATAGGATATAAGTGTATGTATTTTAAATCAAAACACCTATTGTGATGGTAGTTTCCAGTTTGTAATGATGTTCCCTCTGAAGATGGTCCGTAAGGACTGAAAAATGTAAGGGAGATAAGTTTTCACTTAGTAAAAACTTATATGTCACACTGGATGGAGTGGTTTGTATTTATAATTGTTAGTGTGACGGACCAGAATGAAACAAATCAAAAATAATAATTACAGATATAAATAATTCAAATTTTGAAATAAACCTAAATCGAACCATCAAGAAAATACACACATGGTTTAGTTCCAATCTACTTACTTTGACTCTTAAGAAAACTCAATATTAGAATTTTTCTTCAAGGAAAGGCAATAAGAGCCCAACTCACATTGTCTGTGAACAGGGGGGCATTGCTACCGTATCTGAAACTAAACTTCTTGGATTATGTATTGATGATACTTTATCCTGGAAAGGCCAAATAGAACAGATTGTTAATAAAATGGCCTCAGCTTGTTAGGCACTGAGAAATATAAGACATATAGCATCAATGGAAGCATTGAAGTTGAGCTATTTCGCTTTAGCCCATTCTGTTATCAGCTATAGAATAATATTTTGGGGCAGTGCAACCAATGTACATAAAGTATTCATAAAGCAGTAAAGAACTGTTAGAGTCATAAACAACACTAAACCTAGAGTCATGCAGGAAGATTTTTAAGATGATGGGAATAATGACACTATACTCACAGTATATATATTCATTACTTTTATTTATAATGAATAATAAAAACTTGTTCTTTATTAATGGCGAGATACATGAATACAAAACTAGAGTTCACAAAAATATACACATGTCTGCCTTGAATCTGACAAAACATAAAAACGGACCCTATATAACAGGTATAAAAGTATTTAATTGTCTCCCTCAGTCAATTAAAATGTTAGTTAATGAGGAGAAAAGTTTTAAATCAGCATTAAAGAGGTTTTTGTATCATCATTCCTTTTATTCTATGAATGAATATTATCAACATGCAAATGAATGAATGAAAAAGATATATGTAATTAACATATTTTATGTTTGTATTCATTAATTGAACTTTTAGTATATTTTAATATTGAAATCTTGTGAAATGTATATGTTATGTTGTATTGTGTAAGCTTTTATGGGGTAGTAATTTAATCAATTTTAACTTGAACAATTTCCACTTTTTTCTGGTTTGATTATCACTATGTATAATTTCGTTTTATTACTGCTCTGTATGTGACTGAATTTTATTTTATGAACTGTTCTTGTGTATGATGTATATATTGAAATCTTGTGAAATGCATATGTAATGGTGTTGCATAAGGTTTCATGGGTTGTAATTTAATCGATTTTAACTTGAACAATTTCCACTTTTTGTGTTTTAATTATCACTATGGATAATTTCATTTTATGGTTGTTCTGTATGTGACTGAGTTCTATTTTATGAACTGTTCTTGTGTATGTTTTGATTTCATTGTGACTTGTTCAATATCGTAGGCTTCGCCAAAAAGAATTTATCGAATTTAAAGAATAAATGAAATGAAAATGAAACTTATACTTCTACCTAACACACTGGGGTGAACCAAGGAGAGAACTGACAATGATGATGATGATGATGATGATGATGATGACGACAAATATATGTATCGGTCCTTGACTGTTTCTGAAATAACTCTAAACTCTACAACAACATGCAATTCCCAGGTTTACTCTTCATATTTTTATGGACAGGTATGGGAACATCTGGAACTTGGAAGTATACTAAGGGCACAAATATATGTAAAATCAAATATCACTGATTTACAAAATAAGAAACACCTGTTTAGACTGGTTGACACTGCAAATGCACGATAGCTGACAGCAAGGACGCCATTAGACCACTCATGTGAGACAGGATCAAACTGCCCATACAGCTGTCCCATTGTAATGGACTTTGGGTTAATCACTGTGATCTCAATTTTGTGTTCATCCTTTAAACCCTAAAAGAGCAAATATTAATCAATACATTTATGAGACAAAATATGACTTTTCTTGAGCCTCAACATATCTTTGGTCTCAATTTCTTGTGTAATAATAAGAATACACCATAGAATACTAGTCCAGCTATCTTTCTATTATGATTTTAAACTCCCAAACTCCTTGGCAAATTTTTACAAAATTTGAAAACAGACTTGTCGATGGATATATGTTCATAAAGTATATATGAGTAATTTATGCTATAGCAGTGAATTAGTACTGAATCATCACTGAGGACCCAAACAACCTGGTACATTTACGGCATTAAACATACACTTTATTGAATAGTGACACAAACTGAAGGTATGGATTTTAATTTGATTTTTTTTTCTTAGTGGAGTGAGACTGAGTCCACTTGGTCTGCTGCCACTACTGGCCTATTGTACCAGCCCAAGATGACAGATGATGGTGCCTGTGGAGAAATTGGTGGAAACCCACCCCAGTGCCACTTTGTCCACCACAAATCCCATATGACCTGACCAGGGCTCGGACCCAGGCCACCATGGTGGGAAGCCAGCAAATAACCACCTGAGCTATGGCACAGCCCTTAGGTATTTACATAAGTTTTGTTCAAAAGAGGTTTCCATGTCTTTATGTAAAGTGGTAGTACATGTTATTCAGGAAAACAAAAATGTTATTTCATTGATAAATTATAGTGATTGCCAATAATGTTTAATTCTGCAAGACACTATCAGTTGTGAAAATGTTGCTTTATGTATTCCAGATGAACATATACAAAATAAAAGAAGACAAAAGCACTCCATACTGTGCTTTGTGAATGTGTATAAAATTTACCAAGTTTTTATACGAACATATCCAGGAATATAGGAAGATAAGGCAGTGAGTTGAATCCAAAATTTTGATGTGTATGTAACAGTTCTAAGTGAAATGTGAATGAAGTCATCTACTTTAAGTTTTCAATACCTTGTTTTCTATTTCAGCTAAGCCATCAGCCAGCATGCGGTATGCAGTTGTCTTGCCTCCAAATGGAAGTCCAACTATCATGAAGCCATGCCTCACAGTCATCATCTCATAGATCTGCTGCACTTTCTCTAGGAAAGGCGGTATGCACTCTACGTTTGCAGCCTTGCAGGCACTCATTACTGCTGCATTCAAGATAGTGTAGTCTGGCTCTGGGAGTATGATTCCAGGAAATATATCTGATGTGATGCCCTGAAGTTGCAAAATAATGACTGAATAAGAATATCAAACCTGTGCTCTCTTATACTCACAATGAGACATACTAATATGACATACTCTGTTTGCAAGTTAAGCAGATCATTCTGAGAATTTTGTGGTCCAACTTTGATAAACCTCCAGCCAGAAGCACTAATAGAAACTACAAATTAAATGGCAGTATCTGAGGTTGTGCTATATAGTTGCATAAGTCTGGAAGATACTGAATTAGCACTTCATAACTGGTCAAGCAAGATAAGGAAATCTTAGTATTTCAGTTTACAAAACAATAATTTCATAATCTTTTAGTTTCTTTCTTATGAGTCCAATGCATAGCATGGTGTGACAAGGTGCCACACTACTGTGATACAAGTCTTGGGCTCAACACACAACAATAATCACTAACAAACAAAATGTCATGAATATGAGGAACATCAGATCCCCAACACTGTTTTGGACACACATTAAACAGTTGCTCCAAGCAATTAATGGATTTTCCCCATACTTTTCCCCTGACATGAAGATTTAAATCAGGCACATTAAATTTATTACTGCATAAGGAAACCACTGAGGTAATAATTTTTTCAAGGGGACCACAGTATATTTTATCTAACTAGTGATGTAGTCCACTAACCTCAATTTATTTTCATAAAACTAGTAACTTGGACTACTAATGTTTGTAGACAGGATATGAGCCATAACTGACAAACAGGCAATGTTCTCGCAAAAGCATGCCATGCTCTTGACATTCATCGAACAGGCCATTACTGAATGTGATCTGGAAAGTCATGATGATGAAATACTGTGCCTCAAGGGAACTTCCAGGCAGAATGGTTACAGTAAAACAGATATCCACTGGGCCGTGAACCCTAGAACAAAGTCACTTTCACAGTGGCAGGAGCCAACAGAGGAGGTTACTATGCTCTATATACTGTCACGAGTATGGGGTAATCGTGATGAAAATAACAGGTTCTAGTTTGGATGGCTGGATTTATTAGCACCTTGGTTACAAGTTCTTTTAATTACAATTTATACAGTGCTATCGCTGATTTACTCAATTTCCAGTCCACAGTTACACACATACTAGGATTTTCAGTCTTCACTAGTCGTTTCCTAGCAACAGATCTCAACACAGAAACTAGCACTTCAAATCACTATGAAGTCTCCTTGTCATTTCATGTTCAAACACCCTGAAACCTCGGCACTCAACTAAAATCTTTTCTGGACTCCTCACTGATCTAAGCTACAACAGGTCTTTGTTATATAGGCTCCACATGGGCAACACAGAAAACACAGTTCCAGTGCCATACAGTGCAGGTCACACTGAAAACAAGTCATGTGCAAAGTACTGTTGGGATGTGATGTAACTGTGCCTGCGTGGAAATGTATTTACCAAGCCATTGCCAAGTAGTGGGTTGCATAACCCCATTGTTTTGTTGGTGCCTGTATTACTTAGAGCAAATATGCCATAATACATGTATATACATACATACATACATACATACATACATACATGCTCGCTTGGAAATACACATTTATAAAACTATGTAGAAGATGTAATTCAATAAATAACTTGATATTCTGATGTAATGTGAGTTAAGACAAAACTAGGTGAACAATATAAGCACTAAAAGTGGCATACCAGGAAGTAACAATTATAAACATACACTACCACTATTTTGTAAGCACTATTCACAGTAAAGCTAAATTTGTGGATAACANGTGTTTTTTTTCCATCTTACCGTCTAATTGTAGTGATTCCAAATTTACCCAAAAACTACTTCTACATGTACGTAACCCTTTGCTGGATAACATTACCTGGAATAATGGAAGGTCATGGTTGAGTAACATTGACATGTTGACATCCTTGATGGACCGCAGAACCAGAATGTCCTCAGACTCATCTGGATACTTAAATTTTAGGTTTCCAGCAGCAATTAGTACTGACTTGATGGCACGCATTCCTAAACAACAAAAGTGTCACTGTCATTCACATATAAATGAGCATAAATTTCCAATTTCTTAATATCATGCAATTAAATATGTTTATTACCCACTACTTCCTATTGTCCATTATATATTTAATGTTAAGCCTATCATTTAAATGTTTCTAATAAAATATTTTTCACTTACAATTCATATCATAGAAATGCACAAAACCAAAAATTGTAATCGCCTTTTTAAAAGATCTGTAACTGTTGTGTAAAACATTACTGAACATGGCAACTATTTCACGGGGTAAAATAGAGGTTATTTCAATCTTCAACACATCCAAAACTTGCAAATATTCATACTGATGTGTAAAAATTAAATCAGAGCACAAGAACTAGAATCGTGATCTATTAGACACTTCAGCAAATACACTTTCCTATTACAGGAAAAAGTAAAAGTACATTAAACAAAAGTGTGCATGTATGTATGTTACAATTTGTATTAGACAGAGGTTAGGCAAAATATTTTTTACTTCAGCAAATATTTAGTTCTAGATGTCAGCAGAAATGCATGCAGAACTTCACGTAAGATAGTAATAAAAATTTTCAATTTAAACGAAATCTAAATTGGCCCAACAGTGTTTTCATAAAATTCCTTAACAACAGATTCCACATAGATCTGTCTAGTGGTTCTCAAATTGCCGTAAATACAGATGGACAGACACACTGAGCAAACTTATAGGCAAAATTACAAATGCACTATTAAACAATGTTTTCCCATTGGAAGTATAAATCTGTACACTGTTCCAAAGCTAAATGCACCACATACAGTACATTGCAGTCATGTTTATTTTGCACTTCATTTCTTTCCATTGACCACTGTATATAGTAAGGAGATACATATTTCATGTGTCATTTATTTTTACAAAGAACCATTTTGGGAAAAGCCCCGAAGTCTCATTTGAGCTTCATTATTAGTATCTGTTACCAGTTTGAATCAAGGCTATATTATCCTGCGAGTTTTCAGTGTAGACACCGAATTTCATGAAAATCATGCTCAGTAGTTTTGGATGGGAAATATGGGATCAGAAAGACAGACAGCATGACTTCCGCATTATGCATTTCTTTAAAGTACTGTACTTTGTAAAAAGAACATACATTGCAGCAGGTGTTCAACCTACCATAATCATAGTGGTTCTGTGAAGAAAGCTGCTCTGAGCAAAGTCTGCATGTGGCCACAATCTTGACAGCCAAGGACCGCGCACTCATAAAACCATAGGAATACAGTACAATTTCTGAAATGAGGGTATAGTCTGGCACCATCATTGCAACTGATCGAAACAATACCTGCAATGACAGAAAAAGTGGAGCTCTGTAAGAAATCCAGCCATGATCCAGTAGCATGTATCATTATACTGCATAATAAAACAGTTTCTTTAGACTGACAGACTTCCATGGCATTTATTATGGACATCATTCCATTGCAGCCTATTCCACCTTTTTACATTTTAATTCAAACCGCCAGTAATAATAACATGGTAGTTGCTGGAAACTCAGGTTGGAATGGGTGCAAGATGCTCAAGTTTTATTTGGTGATACATGTGCAATAATGACTGAATACTGTGCTGATCACAGCTTCATAAGTTAGCATGAAAGGTGGAATAGTAATTCTCCAAATGTTGATAAATGTTACAATTGGGTTCAGGAGACAGACTGAAAACGGATCCACACTGCAAGCAATTTTGGGGCAGTTAAATAATTTGAGCACAACCAAGAACTCAGAAGGGGTACTAGCACCAGCCAAGACCACCTAGTGGCTGGCCAAGACAATATGTCAGCAGGCTTAAAAGAACTAAAAAAGGATGTGACATCCAGTCAAGAATGACTTAAAAATGAAATACATGCCATCACAGATGACCAGTACAAGTTGGAAAGAAGAGTATCAGATACACCACACAAAGATTTTGAAAGTCTTCAGGAAAGTGATCAAAGAGCAGGCCCAGAATATTGACATGGAGTTCAGTAGAGTTACACAGTGAGATGTGCATATACCTTGATGTGACTTGAAAGTCATACATCTGCAGTTTAACATGCGGTTAGAAGCAGCAGAAATCTGAACTAGATGCAGAGACAATGAGGTTACACAGAACTACACTGTGAAGCCACTGAAGTTTGATGAACGCATGTCCTGGACAGTACTTCACTGCCAGTATAAGGCAGATGGACAGCCCATAAGGACATATATCTACTAACCACTGTTCTGTGGCAAGCTGCCAACACCCTACAGAGTATTCCAGCCAAAGCATCATACAAAGACAACATCAGGGTGCTGAAAGACTCTTACAGAAACCACCAGATGGTGAAGGCTTACCAGTCTAAACTTAAAGCTAGGACCTAGCTGAGCGGCAAGTCTCTACAAGATTTTCAGTAGCCAGCAAGCAGAAGACTCACTGAGCACTCCATTCAGAGGGAGACAGGTTATCTCAGAAGGGACTGTAAGCAGAGGCTGACTAGGAGGCCAACCAGGACCAGGGACACAAGTGAGAGCCAACATGAAAAGGGGGCCATCTGCATAAACACCTTCATCACCTTGCTCTACACACATCATACTAGCCAATAGGAGTGATAACAGCCTAACTGCCAAGGGTAGAGCCACATTAATACAGCTGTACTCTTTAGATGACCCTATTTCTGGATATATGATCACTGCCAGAAAATTAAATGACAGTTCACCAGTCTGAAAGTAGAAGTTATCGCTCTTGACCATGTCTAAGCCTGGGACCATGAAGCCCTAAGGAGGGAGCAGCTAGATGATAACAACATGAGACAAACTGTGCAATGGATTGAGGTTGAAAAGCGTCCTTGACTTCAGTCCCAGTTGCAGCTGCTGGGCTCAGTGAAACTCCCTAATAGTGACAGACATGTTAGGACATCACTGGGTGTCAGGTGATGGACAGTACAAGACAGTCTAAATACTTCTCCCCAGAGCATGGTGAAGGAAGTATTGATATAACTGCATGGAGGATTTTGGGAGGACATCTGGGTGTCAACAAGGCCCTAGGCAAGCTCAGAGAGCAGTACTACTGGCTATACATGAAGAGAGTCATCGGGAGATGGTGCCAACAAAGTGACACCTGAGCAGCAAGCCAAGGTCCCCAAACATGAAGCCAGGGCCTAATGCACAACTACAGCATCAGGGCACCATTTGAGAGGATCATCATAGACATCACAGGACCATTTCCAGAGAGCAAGAGGGATATATATTCTATTAGTCTTCTTCACCATCCCAAAAGTCAGAATAGTGAAAACTGACGAATATGTGGAAGAAATGATGGCTCTTGTATGAAACGACCGCTGACTGAGCTTCAGAGTGAAAGCAGAATAATTAAATATTCATAACTGACCAGAAAGAAAAATTAAAACCCAAATTCTGAACATACAACAAATCTGTGCCAAGATATTTCCAACGAATTCGAATGAAGCATAGACATTTACATAAAAATAAAATCTTGTAAAATCTGGACTCTTCAAGCAGTGTCGTCCCCAGTAGTGAAAATTTTCTACTTAAATAGAACCCACAAATCAAATGGCAGTCAATGCAATCGAAATCAATCCATTTTTCAAGAGCCCCATGCTACATAATGGGTGACATTGCAAAATGTCATAGTCATAAAATAGTATACTTAGCCCCTTGTCATTATTAGTATAATCCTGCTAAACTTGTGTGAGCACAACTGAAATCACATGGTATGGAAAACAAAAGTAGCTATTTCAAAATTGCTGATGTGGAGAGATTATCTCCTGAAGCCACAGATGGCACTGACACTTCAGTTTCGAAAAACTGTTTGACATGTGGAGAGTGTGCAGGAAGATCTGGTGAAGGAAATGGCAAAGGATGAGGTACTGGAGCTGATCCTCATCAACTTAATGCAATCAGAATCACATGATTCAGATACTGATGATGGCCTCTACTAAATACAAGGTAAGGTTGTAATTAATCACATCATACAAATGATAATAATCCCATTACTAAGACTTATATGCATCACAATGTGTGATGTATGTAAATCTTAAAATGAAATGCTTGCCAACACTCAATTTAGTTGCCCTGTCTTGCTCAGAGCACAACCTGTCAAATTTGAGAAATTTTCATATAGTGTCAATTGTATCTCAGAAATATATAGTGAGCACATGGGTATTATTGTTACTAGAGAGAGAGGACAAACAAACAGACAAATACAACATGAGCGACACCTACCAAATGAATGCTTAAGACAGCCCACTAAAATACATAGGACAAACAGGCAGAAAGTTCCACACTCGATACAATGAACATAGTATACAATCAATTAGAAATAATAATAGTAATTCGGGACATTCAAGCCACATATTAAATATGGGATGTACATATGGAACCATGACAAACCTTTAGTAACAGAACTGTCAGAAATTTAACAAAATATTCCATCCTACATGACTAATGTGAAAATGAAAACATCAAAGGAAGATGAAGATTCTACCTATGAGAGGGAGGTACAATTACTGACTGCTTGCAGTTCAGCAGATACTGAGGACAGGAAAATTATAAATAATAAAGATATGGAAAGGCCGGTCATGGTAGCCGAGCGGTCTAAGGCATGCACTGTCTTCGCTCGCTTGGAAGCCGGGATCGTGGGTTCGAATCCCACTCAGGGCATGGATGTTTGTGTGTGTTTTTCTGTGTTTGTGTGCAACGAGCTGATCAGCCACCCAAGGAGTCCTACCATATGTCTAAGATCTAGAAAAACCGAAGTGAACGGAGAAGTTCATGGAGGTAGGCCTAGGCCCACTGGGGCTGTAGTGCCAAGGAAAAAAAAAAAAAAAAGATATGGAAAAGTTGCAGATAGATCTGAACAGGCTGAGGGAGTGGGCGGTTGAAAATGTGATGATAATTAATCTAGCTAAAAGCAAAGCAGTTCCCTTTATGAGAGCCCAAGTGATGGAACCACTAAATTATTCATTATGGGACAGTCATTCTGGAAGCAAGCAGTTGTAAATACTTGGAAATAATTTTTTTCAGTGATTTATGTTGGGCTGATCAAGTTAATTACACGGTGAAAAAAGTCTGGAAGGCACTTCATTTTACAATGAGTATTATTAAAAGGGCAATAGGAACACTAACAATTTAGCCTACACATCACTAGTGCGTCTGATTCTTTATTATGGGGAGACATGCTGGGATCCTTACAGGAAGAGATAGATAAATGCGCTAGACCAGGTGCAAAATTTGGATATCATACAAATGATTCAAACTACAAAACCTTGACACAGCACAAAAAGATAACTCACATATGTGCTCTCTTCAAAACATACATGGGAGAATGGACTTGGAAGGCTACAGTTGACAGATTACAAAGACCAGGCTATCTGAACAGAGTTGATCATGATAGGAAAATCAGGAGTAGAAAGCAAAACACAGATATCGGAATACATTCCTTTTTAAACAGGACAATCCAGCTCTGGAACCAACTACCTGCAGATGTTTTATGAATTCTCTCCTGTAAACCAAGTAATTTTAGGAAAATGGTTAGGAAAGTCATAAGACAAAGTGAAAGTGTGGGGGAAATCATCAAATAAGTGCAGTGAAGTGAAGTAAATTGTGGTCAGGATGTGAAGGTTACATAAGTGTAGTGAAGTGGAATGAAGAGAAGGTTATGGTGATATGTGAGTGCATCAGTTTGTGACATTACATATTTTATTACTTTTACTATTTAGTGTATAATATCCTTATTCATTATTAATAATAATTTATATAACAGTAGCTGTAATTGTATTTGTTGTAGTTTAAATTGTATTTGCCTTGTACTCATTGTGTGTAGTGTGTCCTTTATTGTTTGTGTAGTTTTTGTGCTTGTGTTTTGATTGAGCATGGTGTGTTATTTTGTGTGATGTGTGTTATTTGTGTGTTGTGTCTTATTGTAGTACCACTGCCACCAGGTAAAAACCCATTTGCATTTAAAATTACAATAATAATAACAATTCAATTCTTTATTATTTATGTGCCGAGTCAACAGCCGCTGGGCCAATTACAGACAGAGCACAGGATAGATACAAGTAATTACATTATGGACAAACCCAACATAAAGTCAAAGACAAATTATAGGCAAGCACTGGAGGAAAACACAATAATGCAGACAAGTAAACAAACAAACAAACAATAATAATAATAATTTCATTAACATAAATAAATAATGCAGACAAGTAAACAAACAAACAAATGACAATAATAGTAACAATAATAAGTTCATTAACATAAATCTAAGTGTTATTGAGAACTGAGAAATGAAACATATAAATATTTAATTGAG